TCCTTTGGTATATATGGTTGTGACTACTTTCTTCCACTATTTGATCTGAGGAAGTGGGTCTGGCCCACGAAAGCTCATCATCTAATAAACCATCTTGTTAGTCTTTAAAGTGCTACATTGTCCTGCATTTTGCTTCAAAAAGGATACCAGTGGCTCTTTAAAGTCTAACAAATTTATTAGGGTATTAGGATATAAGTTTTAATGACCTATAACTCACTTCCTCAGATGTTCCAAAGAACAAAAAAGGATATAGATATGGGAGTGTGACATCAGTGCTAATTAAATCAGAGTGGATGGGTGTGCTCTGTGAAGGAGTACTTCCTTATGTTTGCTTTAAACTTGCTGCTTATTCATTTCATTGGGTGACCCTTAGACTGTATTAAATGACAGACTCAATAACACTTCCTTAATCACTTTCTCCGTGCCTTTCTTAATTCTGCAGAGATCTTTTGTAGATCTTGATTTTATATCACGTATACGTAGTCATTGCTTTTCTAAGCTAAATGATCCCAGTCTTTTTAGTTTCTCTTCACATAGGAGCTATTCCGTTATTCCATTTCCCTAATCATTTTTATTGCCCTGTGTGGTACTCTTTCCAATTCTAATGTACCTATTTGAAATGGGGCAATCAGAATGGCATACAGTATTCAAAGGATATTTTCAGTTGTATTTTCTTTCCCCTTTCTAATGTTTCCTACCATTCTATTAGCTTTTTTGACTGTCACTGCAAATTGAGCACCTATTTTCAGAAAAATATTCATGGTGACTCCAAGATCTCTCTCCTGAGTGATACAAAATAATGAGGTCTAAATTAGCTGTATGTATATTAGGGAGTAAACATGCATTTAAAATGTAACCATGTAACCACTAAAAATTATAGAAGTTATACAGTTATACGTGCTACTTAAATAAGCTTTAAACTGCAGAGCCTGCTGCGAAGTCTCCACCCCAGCAGCAGGGCTGGTAAGCTGAGGCATGGTTTCCCTTTACAAAAGCTGTGCTGATTCTTCCCCAACATATCATGTTCATCTTTGTGTCACAGATTTCTCTTGTTTACTATAATTTCAACCAATTTTTCTGGTATTGAAGTTAGGTTTATAGGTCTGTAATAGCCAAGATCACCTCTGGAGCCTTTTTTTTTTAAATGGGGTTATGTTAACTATCCAGTCATGTGGCTCAGAGGCTGATTTATGCAATAGGTTACATACCTTAGTTAGCGATTCTGTAATTTCCTATCTGAGTACCTCCTGAACCCATAGATGAATACCATCTGGTCCAGATGACCTATCACTGTTTAATTTATCAATCTGTTTCAAAACCTCCTCTACTGGCCCCTCAATCTAAAACACTGCCTAATATTTGTCACCTAAAAAAGAATGGCTCAGGTATTGGAATCACCCTCATCAACTCTGCAGTGAAGACAAATACAAAAAATTGATTTAGCTTTCCCACAAAAGCCTTATCTTCCTGGAGTGGTCCTTAGCACCTCAATTGTTGAAATGGCCTCACTGATTGTTTGGTAGGTTTCCTGCTTTTGATGTACTTAAAAACGCTGTCACTCTGTGTGTCTGTTGCTAGTTGCTCCTCAAATTCTTTCTTTAGGTGGATGGGACTTATAAATTCCCATGTGTGGTGTTTTAGATGCTGTTTGTAATTATTAGAACTGGGAGCACTGGCTGTTGGGAATCTAGAAGCACAGGAAACAGGAAGGAGGGGGGAGGAGATGGGCCAGGCCTGCGTGAGAGCTACAGAGGGGAGCAGCAGCAGCTTTGTAAAGAGGTTTCACCTTTGGTAAATAAAGGCCTGTTGAAGTTTGTTACTACCTTGCTTGCATGATACAACACCATGCAGTTTATAGATACTTCCATTTTGTGACTATTCCTTTTAATTTTCATTTAATTAGCTGCCTCATTTTTGTGTAGTTCCCCTTCCTGACATTAAATGTTACTATAGTGGACTTCTATGTGCTTTTCTCCCCTAAAACAGTGTTATTTTTAATTATATTATAGTTGCTATTACTAAATGGTTCAACTGCATTCGCCTCTTGGACCTGATGCTGTGCACCACTTAGAATTAAATCAAGAACTGCCTTTCCCCTTATGGGTTCCAGAACTAGCTGCTGTAAGAAGCAGTCAAATGTTGTATGGAAATTTTATCTTTGAATCCTGTCCTGAGGTGCCATGTACCCACTCAATATGGAAACAGCTGATATCCCCCATTATGACTGGGTTTTTTTCTGTTTTTGTGGCCGCTCTAATCTCCCTGAGCATTTCACAATCACCGGGCAAGTTGCTGGTGGAATATTCTTATTGCTATAATCTTATTTTTCTAGTATCGAGTTTCTACCCATCCAGAGTCTATAGTACTGCTTGATTCATTTAAGATTTTTACTTTATTTGACTCTGTACAGAAATTTGGTGGAATTGTGATAATCAGTGGGATACAGTAATACCAGGTATTCCACCAAATTTCTGTGATGCTATTTTATATCAGTCTGTATCCTCATTTAATACTGGGACTCAAATTCACTCATCTTAGCATTTGGACTTTTAGTGTTTATATCTTGTAAAATTTGTTAATAGTTGTCTGCTTTCATGTGATTTTATTGAATAAGCCTCTTTCCTTGCACTGCTTCTCTTCAGTTCCTACCTGTACTTTATCTATTTTTACCTTCGCCTCTTTACTAGGATATAGAGAATCCCTTTTAATAAACTCCCCTAAGGGATGTACCCACAAATTTTTTGTTCCTCTATACCCATCACCTTTCCCACAGCCCTTAGTTTAAAAACTCCCATATAACCTCTTTTAATTTTACATGACAGCAATCTGGTTCCTCTTTGTTAGAGCTGAAGCCAGTCCTTCCTGTATAGACTCCTCCTTTCCCAAAAGGTTCCCCAGTTCTTAATACACCCAAATCTTTCCAACCAATATCATTGTGTCCCTTACAAATTAATATCCTGCTTTTCTGCCTCTCTCACTGGCCTTGTGTGCCAAAAAAAGAAGTATTTCAAAGAATGCTATCATGGATGTCCTAGATTTTAATCTCTACCTAGCAGCCAAAATTTGGCTTCTAGAATATCTCTTCCTGTGCCACTGGTTCTTACTTATTTCATGACACTAGTTCCTCCCCAGCACTGCTCTCAAGACTTTCTAGATGTCTTCAGAGATCCATAATCTTTGCACCGAGTAGACAATCAACACACGGTTCTCCCAATCATCACAAACACACTAATCTTTATTTCTAATGGTTGAGTCCCCCCCATTAATATTATATGTCTCTTCCTAATAACTGGGGTTACCTTCCGGGGGGGAGTATCCTGTTTGAGGGAATATTATGACATCATCTGGAATGATACACTACACTGCACTAACCACTACTCACCATCATGGTTTCTCCACTTCAAAACAAGCACCTTCATTGATTTTACCCCATGCTGTCCCTCATTCTTAGGAAAAGCTGCCTGTAAACTCCCATACCACCTGATTGTCCTGTTTTTTGACAGAGGGACTAAGGTTAGAAATGCCACCATGGCTGTACACTCAGAAATAGGGGGGAAAAGACAGGAGAAGAAAGGAAGCTTCAAAATATAGAAAATATAGATGGTACTATGCACTGGTCTTTTTAGGTCTATAGACATTTTCTGTGTTGAGCAACTGCAAGATTAGAGTTTGATTCTGAAATATTAAAGTTAATGGGAGGTTTTCCACTGACTTGAGTGGGAGCAGGGTTGATCCATTAGTCCCTAAATGTCACCTCAGAGCTGGTAAAAAAAGTGCTGCTAAGAACGTGTTCACATATGGTTCATAAGTACTTTTGAATACATGCATTATATTTTTTTAAAATTTCTATATTAAATGGCATTATTTTACATTTTTTAACCATAAAAAGTTTTAATGAACATTTTCATTTCATTTAGTCATGCTTGTTTGTGATACAGAGAACTTAAATAAATGTATTAATTTCTACCTGATGACAACTGCTAAAATAACCAGAAGTCCCTTGATTCATAAGGACATCGAATCAGACAACACCACCACTTAGGATGTGTCTACACTGCACCATTATTTCAAGATAACTAGCATTATTTTGAAATAACAATGTGAGTGTCTACACAGCCATGCTGTTATTTCGAAATAATTTTGAAATAATTTCAAAATAACGGATGGTTTATTCTAAAATCTGTAAACATCATTGCAACAGGAATAACGCCTATTTCGAAATAGCTGTTTCAAAATAAGGCATGTGTAGATGCTCACTGCTGCTATTTCGAAATAGCTCCTCCCCAGGGCCATTCTAAGTTATTCCTCCCCAGTGCCTCCTGGGGCTCTAAATCAAGATAGCACATCTACGTTAGGGAAGCCTGCCTCGGACTAATTTTGAGGCTTTCCTGCAGGGTAGAATGCTATTTCAAAATGAGCTATTTCAGAATAACTACTCCAGAATAGTTTATTTCTAAATAGCCATGCAGTGTAGACGTACCCTTAGTCTCTATGCCGTAAATTCTTCAGCACTTCAGCTGGGTTTGTAACAATACCCAGCACAATGAGACCCTAATCTGGTTTGGGGCTTCTAGACATTATTGTAATAGGAATCATTTTAAAATATTGTATTAATTGAGTTCTCTTTATCTGTAGTGCTCAAAGCAGACAAAGTATCTTTATCACCATTTCACATATGTGGAAACTGAGGTACAGACAGCTGAACTGATTTTTCCCAAGGTCACAGAGCAGGCTGGAGCAAAGCCCTGCTGTCCTATCCAATGGGCCATGCTGCTTAATGCCTTATGCTTTTAAACATCATTAATAATGTAATAATGGAGGAAACATAACAAGAAATCTGCAGACACATCAGAAGCAAAAATCTTCCTATAGATTAGTTTACAACGGTAGGCCTTTGAAAGTATAAATATTTTAAAATGATTTCCTGGTTTTGAACAGTATTGTATTTGTTGTCTATATGAATAGATGACACATACAGCCATTCAGAATCAGTCGCTTACCTTGAAGCCTTTGCATAACATTGGCAATATCTCTGGAAGATCTCCCCACTAGCCTCGAGGCAGCCATGGTTTCTTTGCAGAAAAAAACCCGTTCAGTGACAGAATCTCCACACCAAGCCGCAGACCTCAACAGGATGGAGAGTTTGGACTACTTCCTTTTAGAAATCATCACTTAGCTTCAGCACAGCGTGCATCCAATGAGTCACAGCAGCCTTTTCCCCCAATGAAAACACAGTACTTGCTCGCAATGATTGTGCTATTGCACTGTCCTTTCCTCAAGAGACCTCGGAAACCTGAAAAAAGAAAGCCCCAAGCTTTAGAGAAACCTGCACCAGTTCCTGTAAAACTAAGAACCATAATCTTATTAGCTGTTCTAACACATAAAGAGTGCCATATACCCTATTGCTCAAGCCAGAGACACAATTAACACTGAAAGCCTGGTTGGCAATCACTACTACCACTGAAAGTGCACAAACAAATTATTAAAATTAACTGAACACATGCCAGACATTGATACTCCAGTACATCAAATATTAAAATACTCTTACTTCTAAAGGAAGAAATATCAAGTCCTTGATAAAACTGAAATGGTTTAAAACTATCGTTATATTTCATTGTTTTAAAAAGAACAGGTAATAACTGTTAATCAGTAATTCTGCTAGATTTCTGTCAAGAATCTGAAATATCTCACTTTACTTCGGTGATTTAAAAAAAAAATAACATGCAATGTACAGTAAAGTTGCTTTTTTGGTCACTTGGTACAAGATTTGAAGTGTAATTAACAATACAGATCTTTAATTCACCACTCTTACTCCAGTTTTAGGCTAGTGTAACTCTACTGAAATCAACAGACTTACATCAATATACAATGGCGCTGTTAGAGCAGCAAATTGGACCTTCAAAATACTACTGTAAAACAACATCCTGACTTCTGAACAGCAAGACAGGACTTCCAGAAACTTTTGTTTTTCAGTGGAAAATAAATTAGTAGATATAATATTGTTTCCTACTTTGTTTTATCCATAGTACGCGCACACAGCCCCACCGCCCTACCCCCCACAACACATACAGAGTATGTCTACACTACAAATTTAATCCGAACTAACAGCCGTTACTTCAAATTAACTTTGATAGGCGCTACACATGCAAACCGCTAGTTTGAACTTAATTCGAACTAGCAGAGCACTTAATTCGAACTAGGTAAATTTCATTCTACGAGGACTAACGCCTAGTTCGAATTAAGTAGTTCGAATTAAGAGCTGTGTAGCCACTTAATTCGAACTAGTGGGAGGCTAGCCCTTCCCAGCTTGCCCTGGTGGCCACTCTGGGCCAAACCAGGGAAACTCTTCTGCCCCCCTCCCGGCCCCGGAGCCCTTAAAGGGGCACGGTCTGGCTATGGTGCTTATACCAGGTGCAAGCCTGCCAGCACCTAGCCAGCAGACCCTGCACCTGGCACAGCATGAGCCAGCCACCCATTGCCACCCAACCCTCCGCCTCTTCCTGGGACTAGGCTGGTGGCTCCCAGAAGCCTGCCTGGGACCGTAAGAAGTGGGTGCACGCCTGGTCTAGTGCAGAGATTGTGGACCTCATCCAGGTTTGTGGGGAGGCCTCCAACGTCCACGACCTCCGCAATAGGCACAGGAAAGAGGACATCTAGGGCAGGATAGCTGCCAGCCTGGCCACCAAAGGCCACATGTGAACCCAGGAGCAGGTTTGCATGAAAATCAAGGTGGTCCAGTGAGATCCCTGACCCTGAGCCCTGAGCTTAGAACATAAGAACGGCCGTACTGGGTCAGACCAAAGGTCCATCTAGCCCAGTAGCCTGTCTGCCGACAGCG